GGTAAGTATATATTTTTATTGAAAGATAAAAATATAATAATCCAATAAACTAATAAAAATAAAAAAATAGAAGTAACATAAAATAAACATTTTCCCAAAAAATAAATAATAAGAAATATTTTAAGCTTTTATTAACACTTGTATTTAATACTTTACCTGTATACAGTGTATTTAAAAAAGACGCGGCAATATTTAAGGGGGCGATTGCCCAGATCATTTTATAAAAAAAAGTTCCTATAAACATACGTCCGCAAACGCTTCGTTACCGATCTACAGAATGTTGAAATTTCATTAAAAAAACAGTAAAAATTAAATTTCTCCAAAACCTCTTGATATTATAATGAAATTTTAGGCCTGTCAATAGCTATGGCAGACGCGTACTTTGCAATACAAAACGATTTTTTAGTCTTACCAGTGACTAGCTATTTTTAATGAAAAAAATAGGACCCCGCTGGTTTTTCTAAAAATATAATTTTTTAATTCCTTGTTCAATTATGAAGAAGAAAGCTTTCCTCAGATTATACGCACCGTACGTCACACCGTTATTGAGTAAAAAAATAAAAAACATTTTATTGCGCACCTAAACCCAATGTTGTTTTAATTGAGAAATTTAAATTATTGAACAAAGAAATTCAAATTATCAAATTTGATTGATTTTTGAAATGTGGTACATACTGTTGTTTGTAGTAGGTAATAATAAGGGGCTGCGTTTTAGAGAAATTTAATTTTTACTGTTTTTTAATGAAATTTCACATTCTGTAGATCGGTAACGAAGCGTTTGCGGACCTATGTTTATAGGACTTTTTTTATAAACTGACCTGAGCAATCACTCCCTTAAATATTGCCGCGTCTTTTTTAAACACACTGTATACAAGTAAAGTATTAAATGCAAGTATTAATAAAAGCTTAATATATTTTTTATTTATTAGTTTTTGGGAAAATACTTACCTACTTTCAAAATAGCATTATCATTTTTGTCATGACAAAATGTTTTTAACGTTCATTCGAACAAAAAACTTAATCAGAATGTTACAATTTTTGCCCAAAAAATGCCTGATACTGGAAATTCTTAATCAAAGTACTACTGTTAATGAATGAAATGAATGACATTTGAAGTTAATTCAATTATTTTTGTTCAAATGGACATTCAAAACTTATTGTAATCTTCCCGTATTCCTTGAAACCTTATTAAGAAATTTTGAAATATTCTTTTAATTTCTAATAATCCTATTGAAATCTTAAGTAATCATTGAAATCTACTAAAATAACTCTGAAATCTCCTGACCTGTGTTGTAATCTTGATTATTTATATGAAATTTGTAATATTTTTTGAATTGATATTGAAATCTGCCGATACGTTACAAGAGATTTCAGAAATTTTGTAATCTTCGTCTGTTTTTTCCTTGGCGGATTGGCCTTCGGAACACACCAATCGCACGATATAGGTTTCTGTCGAGGTCTCTGTGGCATTCTTTGGAAAATGAGGTAGGGGGGCGTTGTATAACGACTACATCGACGAAATTCATTAGCTGATTACATAGATTACAGCGAGGATTACAGATAAGATTACGTAGATTACAGACAGATTACATAGATTACAGATAAGATTACGTAGATTACATCAGCGGATCGCCCCTCGATTTTCAGATTTTAAAATAAGGATGATTCACTTAAAAAAATTGAGAAAATTATGTGCTCGAGTTTTGGCTTGCCTTCAACTGTTGCAATAATAAAGAAATAACACTGTCTCGTAAAACTATACCAATATCAAAAAGTTATGCCTGCAAAAAATTATTGTTAAGTTGTCCTGTCTAGGGTATACAGGACGCTGAAATGGGAATGATTCTAGTATACAATTGACCATAACTTTTGAAATACCCTGTATAACATAATTAAACCCTATATTGGAAGGATGGGAGAGATGAGCTTAATCTAAATTTGAAATAATATATAGGGTGTTCCATTTAAAAAATGGTATCTTTGGTTCACCCTGGTAATACATAACACCCTGTATATACGAAAATTATTTTAAAATGTTCAGTTGGCTACAATTTTTGTAAATAACTTTTTTTGATACCTTCTCTACTCGAGGCACTAATGCTCTGTATATCTAGATGGTGTAAAGTAACACTGAAACGTTGGCAATGATTTAAATTATAATGTTTTTTTACTTATTGATCTTTATCCCACTAACACCTTGACCTGGATAACCAATCAAGATCGCTAAATAGTGGAAAAGCAACAACTTTTGTCCAACACTTTTTTCCAAAACTAGTATTTTTGTAAAGCATTTTGTACCCTTTGAAATAACACTAACGAGCTCCCTATGAATTAAAGGAATATTTAAGTAACATATACGAAAGTTTTATGAAATGATTCACCTCTTAAAAGATTTTGTCGAGCTGAATACCAAATATTATAACTAATTAGTTCCCATTTTTTGTGCTTCTTATTGATTGTTATTAACTCAGCCAAGGTTAAAATTTTGGCACTTATTTCTAAGGCTGTCAAAACTGAGCCGCGGGACATAGGCGTACGCATTATTTATTAAAAAGCAAAACATTCAATTGTCTACAATACACGACCATAAACACCAACGGAGAGGAATTAGTTACGCAACATCCGCACGATATACTAATGTGACGTGAACGTAAAAAGCATTCTGAGACAGCGGCTCACGCATGTCTCGATTAGTTCACTTGGCACAAGATAACTTTTGTGCCGAGCGGTTTGGGTTTTTAAAAACAAAATTTCTTTTATTTTAAAAACTTTCACAAAAGTATCGAGGAATTAAAGCCGAAATAAATACAATAACTCTAGACAATAACTAGCGGAACTTGACCCATGTTTATAAGTTTGCAAGGGTTGCAAAGTCAGCTAAATATTTCGAAGTTTTAGAAGTTTTTGAAGTAGGTATTTCCACATATTTAAGGCTTTTGAGGTATTTAGGAAGTCGTTACAAGTTTCCTTTGCATTTATGATACTATTTTCATGTACTCTCTTCCTTGGTATATTTTAAAAGTGTGTTTGCATATTTTATCGTATTTGAGAGTAGATTTTTTGTGTACTCTGATACTACTTCAAACGGCCAAAGGTCCAAGACTAGGAATCAACGACCTTGGAAAGTCAAGAGTCAATGACTCCAGGGCTAAAAGTTAATGATTTTGAAGTTAAATGTCACTGGCATCCAAGGAGTCAAATGTCACTGATCCGCCCACAGAATTTGGAAAAAAAATCATTCAGTCCACGAAAACGGACCGCCAAGTTAAATAGCAGCACAATTTTTCTCTATTTTCAATCTTTAAACCAGATTTAAAGACTTTATCGCTAAGGTACGTGCCGAAAACCAATGGGAACGGTGCATAAAATCTCTCATCTTAAAGGATCCATGATGTGTGCATCGACTGAGTCACTTAATGAAGCAAAATGGCGGCTGAACCGGAAAATGGCGGTTGAACCGTTAAATGGTGGCATCAGATTTTACGACGGTTTTACGGCGAGTTTTCTCAGAAAATCTCAAGAGACAAAAAAGTCTTACAACTGGTCAAAGAACAGAAAAAATGTGGCAAATTCCTAAACCTTCCACTTTTTATTCTGAATAATTTTATCACTTCATCTCTCCAACACAGTTCAAAATTTGGACATAAATGGCTAAAATTCGAACATTTCAGAGAGCGTGATAAAATTTCAGGAAACAACATCGGGAAAAATTGTGAACCTTCCTATTTTCGATTCTCAATATTTTCATTACTATCACATTCGCTCCTTTGCCTGAAATGTTATTCTTGGTCTCAATTGGGTTTATCATTAATGACTATCAGTTTTGTCAAAGCTAGCTAAGTGAATAATTTGCAAAATGGCCCAAGAAATTCTGGGAAACGTGTTGTTTGACCAATTTTATGGCTTTTTTGTATCTTGAGATTTTATGAGAAAACCCGCCTTTTCGAGTATAACCGTCGCAAAGTCAGCACCATTTTCCGGTTCAGCCGCCATTTTGATTGATCAACCGCCATTTTGATTGATCAAGTGACTAAATCGATGCAGATATCATGAATCCTTTAAGTTGGAAGATTTTATGCACCGTTCCCATTGGTCCTAGGCAAGTCTCTTAGTGATAAAGTCTTCAAATCAAGGTTAGGAAAAATTGTGGTCTTTTTTAACTTGGAAGTTTGTTTCTTTTCTCAAATTATGTGGGTAACATCCAAAAGAACATTCCCAAAAACATGAAGTCTAGTAGGTTTGATTTCATTCTACGCCCGGGTGCAATGGTGCCCGTGATTCTAAGATACCTCTCTTGAAAATTCGATTTTGACAGTTAATGGGTTTATCATTAATAACTATTAGTTTTGTTAAAGCTGGCTAAGTCAAAAATTTGAAAAATGGCCCAAAAAATTCTGGGAAACGTGTTACATTTGACCAATTTTAAGACTTTTTTTGTATCTTGAGATTTTCTGAGAAAACCCGCCTTTTTCGAGAACAACCGTCGCAAAGTCTGCTGACACCATTTCCGGTTCAGCTGCCATTTTGATTGATCAACCGCCATTTTGGTTAAGCAAGTGACTATATCATGGATCTTTTAAGTTGGTTAAGATTTTATGCACCGTTCCCAATGGACTTAGATAAGTATTTTACTGATAAAGTCTTCAAAAAAAGGTATAAATATTCAAAATGGAAATAATTGTGGTGTTTTTCAACTTGGAAGTCTTTTTTTTTCAAATTCTGTGGGCACCATCCAAAAGAGCATCCTTAAAAACAAAGTCTAGTATGTTTAACTTCATTCTAAGCCCGGATGCAATGGTGCCCATGGTTCCAAGATACCCCCAATGAAAATTTGATTTTGAGGGTTAATGGGTAAACAAAACAATAACATTTTTAAATGGAAAAATCTAATACGCCGCCTACTACATGTCAACATATCGAGTCACATAAATCACTGACAAACAAGCATCAGAGAAGCAATGCGCAAAATTTAAATTTAATATGAAGAACATGACACCAACCTTTGAGGTGACCCTCCACCTAGCCTGCTGTGGGAAATCGTTGATCTCCAGCTCCTCCTCGTACTTCCTGAACGTCTGCTCTGAATCCTCATCCATCCTGTCATCGTCATCCTTCGGCTGATAATTAAGCTTCGTGTTAAGCTTGGCAGCCAACTGCTCCGCCACCGTTTTAGCGGTTATAGGCGGCTGAGACCCGCTACCTTTAAGAATCGATTCTGCAGCCTGCTGGGTGGCAAACTTGGTATCGAGGATAGCGTTTTTGGTCAGGTTGATCTTGGAGGCGAGTCGTTTGGCCAGTTCCAGCTTATCGACTGCCGTGTTGATGTTGCCCATCGCTGCTGGATTGATAAGACCTGGAAATATACCGAGATAAGAAAAATTGAAATATCAGAAAGTGAAAAAACAAAAACAAGTGTTTTGCTGCAGAAATGTTTTTAAAATTTTCCCTATTTATCAAACAAAAAAACTTTTTTGTCTCCCCTATCTCTTTGTACTCAGAAACAAATGATGAGGACCAATGTTTTAGTAAATTTTCTTGCGATTTTAAAGCAATTCTTCGAAATACAGTTGCATGATGAAGTTTTGACATGAGACCAGGGGGGATCTGTTTTGGTGTAGATGTTTTATATAGTATTGCTAATTTTTACTTTAATGGCTCGAAAATGATATAACAAAACATAACTTCACTATGCGCGCGCTTCAAAACGTGTGCCAAACTTATTAACAAATAGTGAAAAAATTGGAAAAAATTCCATTTTTTTTTCTTTTTTTTTCAACAGTTTCATTTTAGAGAAAAATTGAAGAGGAAAAAAGATTCGTAATTAAATTTTACACAAGATATTCCTATTTTCAAATAAAAAAAATATAACATAATTATTGCAGATATAGCAAAAACAACAAAAAGAAGTGAAAAAAATAAAATAATTTTGTGATTTTTTTAAAAGTACTTACTTATATTATAGGTAGGATCTTCATACTTGGCCAAAAAAATCTTTTTGATATAATAAAACATCACACCAATTTTCGTTAAAATCGGTACGATAGTTTTGGAGTAATAATTATGCAATTCAGATTTTTGAAAAAAAATTGAAATTTTTGCAAATTTAACTGAGGCTGAATTAAGACTTCCAGATACTTGAAAATTTTATCACATAAAAAAGGGCATTCAAACTTTAAAATGCGTCCAGAAAAATTGAAATCCGCTAATTAGGAGATCCGTGGTAATTGTTTAAATATATGCGTAATTTTTGCTCTTATAAACAAATAGAATAACTTTATAAATTCATTGTAATTATAAGTATATTTTTTAAATTATGCTTTTAAAGTACTCGGAAAGACACTTCTTTTTTTTAAAAAAAACATGGTGATTCGTTAATTGGTTCCAGAGTTATGGTCGATCAAAGTTGACCGGCACTTGTGGCGTAACTACGAGGTCTGGAGGGCTGCTTTTTAAACAAATGGTGTTGTCATTCCGAGTACTTTCCGGGAGTGAATCTGCAAAACTTGCGCCCTTGTGCAACCCATATAAAATGTCGATTAAAACTATTGAACCGAGCATGAAATTCACGAAAAATTTATGGGAGGTAGTGGTGAGGAGAGTCAAGAGCTCGGCTACTCCGGCCGACTCGAAATTGAAATTGCGCGTTCAAATTAGCGGCGTGCTTAAAAATGTTGATTATCTCGGCTTCTAGTGGTCCGATTTTGATGTTTTTTTTAAATCGATGTCTCGCGAGCTGAAAAGTCCAAATATCGCATTTTCAAATGTGAATTATTGTTAATTATCGACCTATTAACGTATTGATAATTACTACTTTTATTTATTACTATTTTATTTTGTGAATTTCATGCTCGATCCAATAGTTTTAATCGATATTTTATATGGGTTGCACAAGGGCGCAAGTTTTGCAAATTCACTCATGAAAAGTACTTGGAATGACAAAGGTATTTGTTTAAAAAACAGTCCTCCTGACGCATAGTTACGCCACAAATGCCGGTCAACTTTGATCGACTATAACTCTGGAACCAATTAACAAATCACCACGTTTTTTTTTAAAGAAACGTCTTTCCGAGAACTTTAAAAGCACAACTTAAAAAAAAATAATTATTATGAATTTATAAAGTTATTTGATTTGTTTATAAGCGCAAAAATTACGCATATCTTTAAACAGTTACCACGGCTCTCCTAATTAACAGATTTCAATTTTTCAGGACGCATTTGAAAGTTTGAGTGCCCTTTTTTATGTGATAAAATTTTCAAGTATCAAGACATCTTAATTTAGGCTTAGTTAAATTTGCAAAAATTTCAATATTTTTTCAAAAATCTAGATTGCAAAATTATTACTCGAAAACTATCGGACCTATTTTAACGAAAATTGGTGTGATGTTTTATTATACCAAAAAGATTTTTTTGGCCAAGTATGAAGACCCTACCTATAATATAAGTACTTTTAAAAAATCGCAAAAATATTGTAATTTTTTTCACTTTTTTTTGTTTTTGTTATATTTACAATAATTATGTGTATTTTTTTATTTGAAAATACGTATCTTGTATAAAATTTAATTACGAATCTTTTTTTCCTTTTCAATTTTTCTCTAAAATTAATAGTTTTTGAACTGTGTTGAAAAAAAGAGAAAAAAAATGGAAATTATTCCAATTATTTCACTATTTGTTTAATAATAAGTTTAGCACGTTTTGAATCGCGTGCATAGTGAAATTATTTTTGTTATATCACTTTCGAGCCATTAAAGCAAAAATTAGCGATACTATATAAAACATCCATACATGGGTGTTTTGAAACAGATCCCGCCTGGTCTACATGTAAATCAAACATATTTTTTCTAGATCACATAGGTATATTTTTATACACTGCGCGAAATCGAAAATGAACTAATAAGAGTTGCGTCAATTAGCCACTAGATGGCATTCAAATTGGCAGAAAATCTTTTTTAATTCAACAGGCAAAGTCTGGCTCGCACTATTCAGATGACCCTGTACATTTAAAATTAATTTTTTTTTCCTCATCTGTCACTCATTCTCCCTGTAATATATATTTATTTTAAATTCATAAAAATTCCAGTTCTTCCACCAAATTCAACATTTCCCGGTTCTCTACAGCTGTAACAATGTCGACTTAGTACTTACCTAAAGGCGCCTTTATCTCCTTTACGGTCCTCTTCGTGGCAAACATGCTCTCGATTTGCTGGTCAATATCATGTTCCAAGTCTTCATCATCACTGTCTGCCAACCCCAGGGCCGCTTTCTGGAACTTCTTCTTCTCGTTCACAGCGGCCGCTTCCGATTCGTCGAACTTGAAACCTTTACCGCTAAAACCACCTCCAGTGTGAACTTTTTTACCTGAAATGCAAAACAGAAGTCTTATTAACAGTTCAATTTACTATTCTTCAATATTTCACCTTCAGACTCTAGTTTCGTTTTGTAGGTCTCCCACAGAGTCCTCAAAGGATCCGGAACTGTCACCGAAGCTAGCTCGAAGGCCTTTATGACGTCCCCGGCGTACTTCCCCTGCTCGGGAGTGATAAAAGTGTACGCGAACCCTTTATTCCCGGCCCTTCCCGTCCTTCCACACCTGTGGACGTAATCCTCGTAATGATTCGGGCAGTCGTAGTTAACGACTAGGATCAACTGTTTGACGTCCAGGCCCCTGGCAGCTACCGAGGTGGCGACGAGCAGTTTAATTTTTCCCGTCTTAAAATCTATGATGGTGGAATCGCGGTCGAACTGATCGATGCCCCCGTGGAGACTCATGCAGTTGTAGGCGGCTCTCATGAGTTCTTTCAGGAGGATATCGGCGTTTTCTTGCTTGTCTACGAATACGATAATACTGCCGAGTTCCTGGTACAAACCGAGGAGTTCGAGGAGCTTCAAGAATTTCTGCTCTTCCTCCAGGATGACCACGTGTTGTTCGACTTCCTTGCAAACTACTGAGCGCCCACCTAGAGAGAAATTAAATAAAAATGTACTTTTTGCAACACAGTAACAGTTAAAATGCATAATATACAGGGTGTCACACTTAAATGTGATACAAACCTGTAGTTTCTAAATTTTTTTATTATTGATTTTAAAAATATTTTTTTTAGATCAATGTAGGGTAAAAAAAACTATGTAACTGTGATACTGCTGTTTTTATGAATGCAATACACGGCCAACTAGGACGCGTTTTTTTATGTCAAAACAGCTAATTGATATAAGCGATTTTTTTTTCCAAAAAGCAGGTTATGTATTCGATACATCTTCAGAAGAGCACTAGTTGATCGTATATTGCATTAATAAAAAAATAGTTGTATCACAGTTAGATACAGTTTTTTTTACCCTACACTCCATAAAGAAAATTTTTAAGTCGGCCAAAAAATAAAGAAGTTACAGGCTTGTATCACATTTCGGGACATCATGGATAGCTCGCCTGAAGATGTATCGAATGATGAAACTTGGTGATAAAGACGTTTTAAGGGACGCTGAATGAGAATAAGTAATTTGTTTCTTAAAAAAAAAGCGCTAATACCAATCAATTGTTTTGATGTCAAGAAACCGCGTCCTAGTTGGCCGGGAATTGCATTAATAAAAACAGCAGTCTCACAGTTAGATAGAGTTTTTTTTACTCTACATTCCAAAATAAAAATTTTTGAAAATCGGCCAAAAAATAAAGAAGTTACAGGCTTGTATCACATTTAGGGGTACACCATATAAGTGATAAGTGTACTCTGTATTATAAAATTTTGCCTCAGAAAGTTACTTCTGAGATATAGCGTTAAAACTTTTGAAAAATATATAACGTAAAATTTATTGTTACTAATTTTGTAAAACAATATAACAAGAATTTGCTACAAATGATTTATTGTTTTTTGCACGCAAGAATGAGTGTGATGCCATGATTTACTTTACATGAAAAAAAAAAAACACCACTGGCGCACAAAATATTATACAATCATAAAAAAACAACATACAGGGTGTTTTCGAAGGAGAAGATTTATTTTTCAGGGGTTATAGCTGATGCCAAAATAAGGCACTGCTCAGAAATTCACTCTAATAAAAGTTATTACAAAGACATTCTAAGTTAAAGAGACTTCTGATGATAGTTATGTAATTATTAATCAAACATTCGTATTACTGCACAAAAATCAATGCTTGCTGTTATTTCTAATGTTGTCGTTCTTTGATATTTTAATTTTAATTTTAATAATCACTTTTGTCAAATTGTACGTTTGGTTTAAGTTTTTGTGAGTTAGTGTCAATTTACATGTTAGTGTAAGTTGATTGCTTGCATTATTAATATTTTTAAAATTATATATTTTATTATCACATCTTGTATATTGACTTCAATTTTAAACAAAGCTTTTCGATATTGCAACTGTAGGTATGCAAAAGATATTCAACTTTATACAGGGTGTCCCGTAAAGTATGTTACAAACTTTGGGTGGTGATAGTACATAAAAAAATATGACTAAAAACTCTAATAAACATAACCTCTTAAACGCACCGTTTTGAAGTTATAGGCCTTAAAAGGTGCAACTACAAAAGTAGTTTTTGTGACGTAACTCTTTGTTGGAAAAAGAAAACATAATGAAATTTTCAGGGACTAGTCAGCTTTAGGAAGCCAATAAATAATGTGGATATTAATAAAATTGAGAAAGCGGAAGGGTGTTTTTTTATCACCCTGTATCCTATTTTTTGCCAAAAAAAATTTTTCTGCAAAGATACAGCAAATATCATAAGATTTTTAGAAAGACCATTGAATTTAGAAATTTTTTTGTCTCTTGCATTTTTTATGTAAAATGATTAGTTTTCTAATAAATTTACAAAATGCAAAGGGAGTTTACTCACCGCTAGGTGTTAAATTTGACGTATTCAAAAAGTAGGCGCCTGTCACTTTTAACATAGTTGACATTTGTTACCATATTTTAATCGTGTCTGTTGACGAATTATTAATTTGTGAGTACAATGGCGGATAACAATCGTTTTACTAATCAAGAATATGCCGAAATGCATTTTATTTATGGATTATGTAATGGAAATGCAACAGCTGCTCGAAGAACATACATAGAACGTTATCCGCAGAGACGTCAGCCGTCTACACAATTATTTACTCGGATTCACAGACGGATTATTGAAACTGGTAGTGTGGTACCCCGTTACATACATTGTGGTAGAATTGCTAGAAGACTACCCGCGCAAGATGAACAAATTTTGAGATCTTTTGAACAAAATCCGGGAGAAAGTGTGCGAAGGGCAGCTAATCAGTTACAGCTTTCCAGAATGTCAGTTTGGCGTGTTTTGAAGGAAAACGGCCTTTATGCCTACCATCTCCAAAAAGTGCAACATTTAATGCCTGAAGATCTTCCCCGACGCCTAGAATTCTGCCGAATAATACTTAACCATCACCAACATAATGTGGAATTTATTAGCTCCATTTTATTTACCGATGAAGCCACCTTTACACGAGATGGTTTACTGAACTTGCACAATGCACATGCATGGTCAGACGAAAATCCTCATGCTACCATTGATAGTCATCACCAACACCGATTCTCAGTCAACGTATGGGCTGGAATAATAGGTGACTATTTGCTCGGGCCTTTCTTTCTACCTCAAAGGCTTGATGCAGTAGAATATTTAAACTTCCTAGAAAACCATCTCCCTGAGTTAATGGAAAATGTTCCTTTAAATTTGAGACAATACATGTGGTACCTCCATGACGGGGCACCTGCGCATTTCAGTGTTCATGTTAGAGAGTATCTACATATGCGGTTTCCTAATCGATGGATTGGAAGAGGATATAATGCACCAATAGCCTGGCCACCGCGATCACCGGACTTGAATCCTGTCGATTTTTATCTTTGGGGACACGCGAAATCTCAAGTTTATGCAACCCCTGTTGATACAGAAGATCAACTTAGACTGCGAATTGTAGAAACCTTTAATTTAATAAGAAATAGTCTATTCATATTCCAAAGAGTCAGATTTAACTTTATAAAGAGACTGACAGCATGTATCGATGCAGAAGGAGGTCAATTTCAACATTTATTATAATAACATATTTTGTTTTAGTTCTGTTTTGGTTACTTAATTAAAAAAATTATTTTGGAAATTGATTGTATTCTTAAAAATTCACTAGGCTTAAGAAATGTATGTAAATAATTCGGAAGCACTCATCTCTCTGCATTTTGTAAATTTACTAGAAAACTAAACATTTTACATAAAAAACACAAGAGACAAAAAAATTTCTAAATTTAATGGTCTTTCTAAAAATCTTATGATACTTGCTGTACCTTTGCAGAAAAATTTTTTTTAGCAAAAAATAGGATACAGGGTGATAAAAAAACACCCTTCTGCTTTCTCGATTTTATTCATATCCGCATTATTTATTGATTTCCTAAAGCTGATTAGCCCCTGAAAATTTCATTAAGTTTTCTTTTTCCAACAAAGAGTTACGTTATAAAAACTACTTTTATAGTTGCACCTTTGAAGGTCTGTAACTTCAAAATGGTGCGTTTAAGAGGTTATGTTTATTAGAGTTTTTAGTCATATTTTTTTATGTACTATCACCACCCAAAGTTTGTAACATACTTTACGGGACACCCTGTAGACGAGATTCCTAACTCATGATGTTATATGAAACAATAATTCTGATGGTTACATGCCTCAAGTAGAATTGAATTATACCAACAATACCTGGTAAACAGTTACTTAAAAATTATATATGGCTGTGATCAGCGAATGGTCGGACCGGTTAGTCATTCAGCAGACAAATATTTCGTTGGTGAGCCCAGTCAGCCATTGATATATCTAAATATTTTTAATAGAAAAACTCCTGCCTGACATATTCAAATTGTTAAATAGTTAATAGTAATAATTCTTTTGAAGAAATATCCCCACTTCTTGTTGTAGCCATACAGTAGTTGTTTCATACAATATCATAATAAATCTTGCCTATGAAATTAGATATCTTTTAGAAATCTAGATTTTTGGTATCGAAGAATATTGTTTGATTTCATTTGATAGAATTTTTAGAAACATTTTTGATTTTATTTGAATTAACAAATTTATTGTTGCTTTAACAAACCTCTTGACTTTTATACTTGTGATAAACATTTGCTAAAATAGTACCCATATACAAACTTGTGGATTGATTTTAATTTGTGGAAAATGTCTTCAAAATTATGTATAAAGCCCCCCATACGCCTGCGAACAAATTGCACAAGTAAGACTGTTGTGCAAACAATTGTATAGTGTATGGTGTTGTTTGAGGTGTTTTGCAACAAGTTCCAGAAATTCAAAACTGTTTGAAATTAATCGCACGAGTGGTGTTGCGCAACTATCGCATCGTGTATGGGTGTATTCGCAACATATTGTGCAATCACTTCAGTTGTTTTCAAGTGTGATAACAGGTTCTTTTTGTATAAAAGGTGTTACCATTTCTGGTAATTCACCAAAAGTTATGGGGTCCATTTGCAAATAATTTTTATAGTCAAGTGGTGAACTCAATTGAAGTTGTTTGAAGAGATTTGCATGGCTAAAAACAGATCTTTTCTTTAACCACTCTTTGCTTCCTTTTTCTTTCTTTAACACCAACATCCGACGCAATAGAAATTATTATAGCTAAACAGGCTGCGTCACGAGACCATTAAAACAAGACAAATGCATCTGGAGTTTGCAAAAAAATGTGTATAGTGTATGGGAGACCTTGTTTGCACAACAGTCTGTTGTACAAAGTACGTTTGCACAATTTGTTCATAGGTGTTTGGGGGGCTTAAGTATCTCTTTTTTATGTAGAACGCCGTCCAGATGACCCCACCAACTCATTGTGTGCAAGAATTGCAACCAGAAAATCCTGCTATGGTTCGTTTTTGTAAGTGGTTATTAGAACAAAATAATTTGAGTGAAAATTTTGCTAAATATTGGTAAAATACCAGGCAATATTTATGTGGAATGATATTTTCATGATAACAACATATGATTCATGTAAAATCCCCATAAGGTTCATTGAACGAATTTCTAACATAAATTTTTAATTAACTTATTGATGGGCACTGTTAGTATTCCGATTAGACTTTTCATTCCACCATAGAGATGAATTGCTGTACCATTATTTAAATTATTTACCAAATGTTTTACTTGTTCTTTTTGAGAATGAACCACATCTACCTTTTACATGATGGGATTCCACTACTTTCGACGTAAGGAATACAATTTTTTAAACAAAATGTTTAGGACACAATGGATCAGTTTTACAGCACCCCAAATTGCCAGATCCGAACCTATGTGATTTTTAATGTTGGGGACATATAAAACATCAGAAACAGAAGTGTAAATGATTGTAGTAGATCAAGGAATTGAACTTCATCACCAGCGAAGAGACTTACTAACTTCATCTTAGAATCTAGAATATGTCGATAACGATTATGTTATCAAGGAAACTGGGACAATTTTCAAAATTTACTGTAACTTCAAAATTCACTATCTCATTCAACAAGTGTACAGAGGGTAAAAAAATGTACACATCAGCATTTAACATTATTAGGTATTGTAAATAAAAAAATTATCTTTATTAACATCTGTCTGTGCCAACAAAAGTCAATTTTTCTTTTTCAATTTAAGTTCGTCTATCTCTAATAGTTTCCGACGTAGTAATGTTATCGCACCAACATCCTTTACTTTCACAAAACCTATAGATATACGGTGTGTCCCATTTTAATTTACGCATTTGACTGTCTTGTCAGGGAAGCCACCAATCCGAAAATAACCCTTACTAAAAGTTGTTGGGTTCGGAGAGGGAAATCGAATGGTGATTTTCAATTTGACTTTGACCTTCAAATCTATTTTTGTATTGGTGACTTCCCTGATGAGATATTCAGGAGTATAATTTAACATGGGACACCCTGTATGTTAAATTACAGCAGTTTTCATGCAGAAAAATAGATTTTCAACAGCGGCTATTTTATTAAATTGCAGGCGTGTCAGTGTCAGACACTGTATATACCTATAAATGCAAAGAATGTCATTACTTACCGACTTGTACCTCGATGGGCCTCTGCAGTATCCGTCTGGCCAGCGCTTCCATTTGCCTGGGGAAAGTTGCACTGAACATAACTGTTTGCCTATCTGGTCGAACGTTATCTATTATGCGCATTACCTGAGGTTCGAAACCCATATCAAACATGCGGTCGGCTTCGTCCAACACGATGTACGTCACGCGACGCAAGTTCGTTACCTTCCCGCTGTTAGCGGCGAGCATGTCGATCATGCGGCCCGGGGTGCACACTATTATTTCCGCACCTAAAAAAACAGAAACACTTAATAAAAAATAATGTGTAAATTTAGCGATGACAGGCGGTCATGAACACCAGATAACAGAAAACTATATTTTATTTCTCTGTTTGCCAAAAATCACCAAAGTCAGTGGCTTGAGTGTTGTAGTTTTAAAAATAAAAATACATCGGTTTTTGAAACACTAACTAGGTTTAGTAATGTGCATGTTTGTATTTTTTAATTGCTTGATTTTTCCAGTGAGATTTTTGATTAGACAAAAATATTTTAATAAGACTTATTTTTTGGCGCAAAGATTTGTTTAATGCATTTCTTATTTTTAATACCACATAACTACAGACAATAAAAAAAAACCTGTTTTCAATAATATTTTTGTGATTCTGATTTATTTTCTATCTCTGACAGTTTGTAGAGATTTGTTTATAAAAAAAACAGAAACATTTTCTGAAGCAAAAAATTGGAAAAATTAAAGAAACTTGAAACAAAAACACTTATAAAAATACAGTAGAACCTCGATAATCCGAACCCCTATAATCCAAACGCATGATAATCCGAACACCGGTTTGGGAAAAATAAAAATAGTATGTAATCAGAATCGCCCTCTAACTGCTACAGTAAACAGAGCATCACCGTAGTACAAAATTCATGTGCAATACATTACATAAAATATAGTTACCTTACTGTAGCACAGTAGTATGTATTTCATAAAACAAACTATTTTGTACCTTTAACAATACAACGTGCTCCTTATTTTATGGGAAATAGTATGTCACTGTTAATTTTTTGCATGCCACTATGCCTGGAAAGCACTTTGTTTGGTAATCCGAACGATTCGATGGTCCGAACCACCCCCAGTCCCAATTAATTCGGATTATCGAGGTTCTACTGTACTTATTTATTTTGAATAAACCTTCAACAGTATGAAAATAATATTCAATCATATGGTTTTACATTCCATGCATGGAACTGTAACTATTCTATTTTACTCTTGATTCAGTCTCATATGTTATTGTGTGATTTAGCTCTTTACTATTTCTTCAATTTCCTTCTTTCTTTTACTCATTCTATTTATACAGTGTAGGAAAGTACCGATGGTCTATCAGAAGTTATGTGAGTGCGATAAAGTAAGCCATAGAAATCCATGTGATAGACAAGGATGGCTATAATGAAGGCGTCTAATAGTCAACGCCCATTTCGCCCTTCCACAAATAAGATCCACTTCTTATTTGTGTAAGGGCAAAATGGGCGTTGACTATTAGTCGCCTCCATTATAGCCATCCTTGTCTATCACATGGATATCTATGGCTTACTTTATCGCTCTCACGTAACTTCTGATAGACCATCGGTACTTTCCTACACTGTATCTTCTTTTACCTGTTCCTTTTTAAAAAATTTTATTTAACTTTTTTCGCAGATCGTATTTATTTATCGTCGTGAATATGCAGTCAAATGTTGTTGGTGAAATTTGCGAACACCCTGTATATGTTGGGTTCTGCTATTTTATTCACTTTTAATTTTTGTACTGCTTCATAACATTCTTTTTCTGGTGGTAAGTAGAAAATTTCACCACCATTTGCTTGTATATTTCTATAAACTTCATCTTCTTCAAGTATTCATCAATGTTCTAAACTTTGGTTCCCATTTTTATTTTTCAATATTCCTTATTTTTTTTACTCCGATTTGTTCTGTTGTCATCGATCAACATGTAGAAACATTTTCTTCATCGTATTGTAACTGGTGATGAAAATGGTGTCTGTATTTGATCTTGAAACAGCAGAAAGAATGGTTAAGCCCCAAAAAACAAACAACTCTGGAGCAAGACCAGAACTTCGTCCTCAAACGTTAGTGTTATACGTTGATGGGATTGCAGATTCTTTATTACGAACTCTTATCAAACAATGAAACTGTTAGATGCAGAACTCTACGTCCTACAACTATGGCAACTATTCAACAAAAAAGACCTCATCCGCCTCAATATGACCAAAATGGCCATTCGGAAGTTGAATTAGGAAGTTCTGCCCCACCTGCCTTACTCTATCCATCTCACACTTTCTTATTTTCACCTCTTCCGCTTTTTGTCAAACTTCTTATGTGATGTTTCTTTTAACAAAGACAACGAGTTTTGAGCTTGGTTGGATGAGTTTAACAAGTTAAATCGGAGAATTTCTACAGAAGAGGCATCGAGAAACATTATTTATTTCCCAACAGAATATTTAGAAATTATAATAATTTTTTTTAAACGAAATGAAGCAAAACCTTAATTTTTCAAATGAATAAAGAAAATAAATTAAATGTAAGAATAACTAAAGAAATAACGTTTATAAAGCATTTTTTAATTAAATGAAAAAAGAAACTAAAAACCCAGCTCAGAAAAAAATATTTTGCAAATTAATGTATCAGTATTTTGATTAGTATTTTCCAAAAGCAGCAATTGTCTGTTGATTTATTTTTTTTTAATAAAATAATTTCCGCAGAAAAACTTTCGAAGGAAGCATTTTGGGAAAAAATGTTTCAGACAAAAGTGTAAGGATTTTTTCCTGGATATCTGATAGTGACCTTGGATTTGACCTTCAAGGACATTTGAAGGTCAGGTTAAGTTTCTTAAATGGAAACCCCTATTTTTTATTGCGGATTTTGAAAGAGCAGGAAATTTTACGTCCAAATATGGTCTTGACCATGACTTTGACAATGACCTTACTCTTTCCAAATCTGCAATAAAAAATAGGAGTTCCCATTTAAAAAACTTAACCTTCAAATGACCTTTAAGGTCAAAGTCAAGGTCAAATCCAAGGTCACCATCAGATAGCCAGGGAAAAATCCTTACACTTTTGTCTGAAACATTTTTTCCCAAAATGTATCCTTCGAAAGTTCTGCCCTACCGGGACTTTTGGATAACCTTGTATAAGCAAACATAGTTGCAGAACCTTTTATATCTTAGATTTTTTCCAATGTTTCAATTTTTTCCAATTCTTTCCAAGAATCGTTTTCACATGCTCAATTTTTCCGAAAATTTTGAACCTTTTGGACCTGTCATGTTCTCCGTTCAATTACCGATGTTTAAACAACCGGTTATTTAGTAACCACTAGCCAACACACATTTTAAAACAATTTTACCTCTCTTGAGTTCAGCAATCTGCTCTGATATCCCAGTTCCACCGTAGACGCAGACCGCATGCAGTCCCAAGCTTTTCGAGAACTTTTTAATATCCTTCCCAATTTGCATGCACAGTTCCCTTGTAGGAGTCATGATGATGGTGATTGGACCATCGGTTTCCTCTAAGGGTGATTGATCGAGTATGTGTCGGAACATGGGCAAGAGGAAGGCTAACGTTTTACCGCTACCGGTTTTAGCGATACCTGAAAATGGAAGTACATGCCTTTACAATTCATTAAAATGTATATTTGTACATTTTATATTTTATTTATTTTATAAATATTAAGTGTTACAGTTAAAACTATAACAGCCTTGTACCTTTTTTAGTTTTTGTGCAACTGAATTCAAGTTAAACAAAAAATTAATGATTTATAAATAAAAAATCGTTCACCCTTTACAATGCAAAGAAGGATCTTCATCAAACAGACAAACCACAACAAAACGGAAACTCATGTCGATTTCAACTAAATTACAATTACAATTACTAAACTAAATTATTAACAAATCTTCATTTTTTTTGCAAAACTGCCGGAACTGTTTATGATGTTTTCGAAGTTCAGCTTGAAAACGGTAATACCAACCGATCAATACGTGTCGAGCACAGCAAGCACTTTACGGGACCCAACAAAATTAAGTTTACTGTAAAAAAGGGGTCAATCATTGCAGACTATTTTTTAGATTGAAGTAAAAGTATTCAACTACAGCATGTGTAAATTTTAGACCTTAATTAACATTAATAAATGAGGTCGCAGCGATTCTTTGAAAACAAATTTTTTTTCTGGGCTCCTGTTGGTTGTACGACATTTTTTTTTCAAATATGTGAAAAAATGTCAGCTTTCAAATGGCAATAATGCTATTTTGATAAAGATCTACATTTTTGACCTGAAGAAAGAAGTCAGTTTCGGTACATTTTTCGCATATTTCCAATTATTTTGCAATACGCGTTCAATATAACTCTTAGAGAAAATTTTAAGCCCAAGATCGTCACGTAAGTGCATTACCGTACGATTTATTGAAACTTGAAAAAATGTCTTTTTTTCGAAAAACTCAATTTTTGCAAAAACTATCAAATATTTAGCAATTTTACAAAAATGTACTTATTCTACTTGCCAAGGACTACATATTCTGAAAATTAAAAAAACAACAATTTTTTACCAATTTTTTTGCAATAACCAATTCATTTGTTTATCAATTGTGTAACGACACCTCACATTTGTGTTCTTTTTGTTTAACTATATTAATAAATTTAATTTACCGCACCGACATTTTTATCATTTCGAACGCCGCCTGAATTTAACCCGGTACTGCATAGTTAGGAGTCTATGGCGCTGAAATAAGTTAGGTTCTGCGCATATTCAACGTGCAAGTGTTCGAGTTGATCCGGGACCTGTCGAGGTTGTCATCCAACAGTATAGACATCCGCCACCGTGTTACTGTGGCTTTAGAAGAATAAAGTAGAACTGTATATAGGATTAAACTCATAATAAATGTAAATAGTTGTAAATTGTGTGACTTTTATTCCTGTGTGAAGTCTAACTCTATCTAGATCCTCTGGACATATCGTGTCTTCACTGTAGCCGCCCGAGTAGTGGTGTTTCTGCACTTTAAACAGATACTTCTATCCTATACTGATCATTACCTATAGTTTCAATGGATGACCTTGTTTCCAAAAAGTGGGGGCGAGACGTACTCCGTGTGTTCTGCGCATGTTCCATAATTAGGCGCGGTTGCATTTAAATTTATAAGACTGTCACGGCATGGTCTGTACTATAGCCGATTTGTATACATATGAGATATTAAATCTATTTTCACTGAGTTCACTTCAATTTCTAAATGTTTACTTTTCTACCATTTTCTTATATGTGTCCTCTATCGATAGGCTCCTTATCTAACACATTATTTTACTATTTATTAATTTCAATAAATAACGTAAGTATCTGCATAACCTCTATTTAATATTTTGCAGGCTCAAATAAAATAAAACAGAATACAAATTTATATGCTTTTAAAACTATGTACATAGGCATGTTCGTAATTTTGGACATTTTTTTAAATGACATTGGTGTATTTATTAAACAAGACTTAGTATTTCAAAAAATCGCCACTATTTGCTCTAGCCGGGTACAACTGACATTTTTTTTTAATAAAAAAAAGTATATTATATAATTATTTATTATAGTGGTTTCTGCAGTTTATTTGATAATATAAAAAAACATGCTATAAAATATCTGTAAAAGACCAATCCGATAATAATGTCCATCACGATTAAGGAAGGCTCTTATCGAGTATAATTTTGAAACATTTTTACTAAATATCAACACAAGATAAATTAATAGAAGCATTAGTGCAGGTTTAAACAGATTATGAAATAAAACTGAAAAGATACATTTATTTATTTATTAAAATATACACTATACCCTAACAGTTACACCAAAACACTAGACTAGCACAACACACAACAAAACTGAGAATCACAAAACATATAAAAGAATATAAAAACATATAAAGAGAACAGTGTTGCCACAGACCTATATTTTTTCGAGCGAGGGGTCCTATCAAAAACGAGCGAGATTATACTATATTATAAAAGAGTGAAATTTTTTTTGTTGAAATAAATCAATCAATAACTCTACAATAACTTACGTTAGTCAGAAATTAAAATGTCTGAATAAAATTACAACAAAGATAATTTAGTGTTGGATGGTATAAGGCAACTACGTAAACTTTAAAAGTGTGGTCTATATCTATACTACAAAAATAGAATAGCGAAACTTCACTAGATTATAGGTACAATTCCATAGGTTTTGTTAGTAGGTTAGTAGGTTTTTATTAATTTTAAATTTAAATAAAGACTGAAGAAATTAAAAATTTAACTCTTGTTATTATCTGGCCATTCGATAACTGTTTCGACTTTCCGACCCGACTGTCGGTAGTGTCGGTCGGTATCTAAGGCAGGTTAGGCAATCAATCCTCTCTATTTCTTTGAGGCAACCAAGTTAAGAGGGCTCTATAGCAAATAGGCAACCAGCAATACATTTTTATAGATTTTATTACACAGATTGTTTAAATATGAATTAATGTACAAATAACAGGCTTTCCTCCGTTCTATCGCAGATTTTCTATAAAATGGAGTTAGTTTGAAACTCAAATTACTTTTTGTTGTAAAGAAATTTGTAATTTGACGCTTTTGAACAAGCAGCATCGTAAATTACAAATTTCTTTACACCAAAAAGTAATTTGAGTTTCAAACGAAGTCTATTTTATAGAAAATCTCCGTTAAAATTGGGGAAAGTTTGTTATTTGTGCATTAATTCATATTTAGGCAAACTGTGTAATAAAATCTATAAAATGTATTGCTGGTTGCCTATTTGCTATAGAGCCCTCTTATCGTAATAAAATTACCTTTGCCATCTATACCAAAGTATGCAAACTTTAAGTAAGTAAAACGAGCAAGATTTTACAAAGATGAGCGAGAGTGTATTCGAAATAAAAATGGCAAGATCTCGCTCAATTGAGTGAGCTGTGGCAACGCTGAAAGAGAATATTAATATTTTTTAGGTTAGCTTGGTTTGACGTTTGACTTTTTTACCGCTCGGCGCTCACCGTTCTTGGTTCCTTTCAACCAATCAAAACCCGTAAAGTAAACGCATGCGTATGAATACGCTGGTACGTCGCCCCACTTTTCGGCTTCAAGTCAATTGCAAAATAATCAGTATAGGATAGAAGTATGTGACTTTAAAGAGAAACTGGCGCCTGAGGTAACCGCCGCCGCTCAAGTGTCATAGTGACGAATAATGTCACAATTGACATCGGGTTAGACTCAAAATTTTTGTTATAAAGTTGTACAACTTTTGTCTTAAACATTTTTTTCTACAATGTTGTTTTTTTTTATATGAAAAAAACTGTTTTTTGCGAACTTTGGACGTCATTTTGAAAATGAAGCCCTAACATTCATTCAATTCTACGGAATTTTTCCTAACTTTTACATTCATTGTTTATTGAAGTAAATTTTGGCAAAAATGAGGTATTTTCGAGAATTTGACTGGCTTAATGCTCATTGAGGTGCATTATTAAGATATAACTACTCTTTTTTCTATTGAATGTGAATCAAACTCAATGAGCCAAACCTTTTGAAAAAAAAAAAAAAAAAATGGACTGTCGCATTAAAATTAAAAAGGTTATAAAAGTATTACAGTATCAAGTGGCTTTAGTTTGAAAATAATAATTTTATAAATGTAAGTGTAAGTATATATTTTATAAATGTAAATGTAAGTATATCTCACCTATAAGGTCTCTCCCTGACATTATTGCTGGTATGGCTTGAGCCTGAATTGGCGTGGGTTTCTCAAAACCCAGTTTCTTGAGAATATTAAGTTCTTTCGTGGAAACGCCACATTGAGCCCAAGTTTTTATGGGTTTTGGACAACCCTTGCCTAGAAAAATATGTCCCTATTACACAAACACCTCAACTTTCAACCAAACTGAATGAGCTTACCTTTAACTCTTATTCCTTCCAGCTCTTCTTTATAAGCCTCAACCTCCTCGTGCGTCATCTTGGCAATTTCAGGGACTTCCACGTAGAAATTCTTCCTGAACGTTATGTATACAATATTGTTATGATCAATCTTTGCCAGTTCCTTTTTTTGTTTATTAGCTATGTTGGCTGCAGTGTCCTTTAAATCTTCTTGCTCTTCCTCCGAGGAATATTCAAGCCCGTCTTGATTCTGTTCGATGAGCTCGCCTTTGTTCTTATTAACCTTGGATTTTGCTACGCCGGTCACTATTACAAGTGAAGTCTTCTTAGCATTTGGGTCACTAGGTTTCTTTACGTCCAGTTTATTTATTTTTCTAACTTCTGCTTGCACACCTACATAAAAAACGATTGAATAAACGCAAACTAGAACTATATTATTAATTCACCTTTCATAAATTCATCCAAAGTATCCATTTCATCTTCTTCTTCCTCTTCTACCTTCTCCGGTTTGCACTCAACTTCTTTCTCCTCTGGTTTCTTCTCTTCCACATTTTTCTCTCCATTTTCTTCCTTTTCTCCCTTATCGTTTTTATCTTCATCTTCGGAATCGTCTTCCAGGGACCATTTCTTTGTTGCCCCCTGAGGAATGGTGAGGTTCTGAACTAATGTTCCCTTTTGTGCTTCCTTCTTGGTGGCTTCTTGCTCTTTCTTTTTCCTTTCGGCTCTCCATCGTTCTATTCTTTCCCGTCTTTTTACCATTTCCAATTCAAGTTTTCTTTGCTCTTCTTCCTAAAAATTTAAAAGAATCATTAGTTTCAAAAGAGCATGGTAGAGGACATTTAAAAAAAGCAAAAGGTATATATTTTTTTGAACCTTATCCAAATTGGCGGGATCAAAAGAAAGCCCTGTGTCATCTTGCTTTGGTTTTTCAGGAGTACGAGACCTAGACCTTGATCGTCGTCTACTTGATTTCCCACTACGACGTTCTTTACTGTCTCCTCTGAAAACAAAAATGTTAGGCACATGAAAAGTACATGAAAAGAAATAACATTTTTAACCTTCTGCGATCTCTATCTCTTTCTCGATCCCTGTCTCTGCTGTAAGACCTTTTATCTCGGTCTCGGTCCCTCCTGTCAGATCGATCTTTCGATCTAGAACGACTTCTTCGCCTCTCTCTTTCCCTTGATCTGCTTCTTCTATACCTGCTGGATTTCGGTCTCTCCTTACTGCGAGACCTCGATCTTCGCCTTTTTCGTTCAGGAGTCCTGCTTCTGTCCCTACTAAAGTAATTGGAATTTGTTATGAAATACTGGATAATTTATGTATAATAAAAATGTAAAGATGTTTCAGTTTTATATATTATGAGTATGTGCTTACCTTCTGACCATTATATCATTGAATTATGATTAGAAAACAATTTAAATAAGTTAGCGTTCATAAATTTACATTAACACATTGACTCAACATAACCTCCATTTTTGTTATGTTTTCTTAAAATGAAATCTATTATACCAACTAGAGATGTGTTGCTCTTTCATTGTCTGCTACTTTGGCACTGTTCCGCAGTTGTCACTGGAGCTGACTGTTCCGCTGCGACAAAAGAAGCGGTGATTTTTCGGAGCGTTTACTTCAAAGTGCAATTTACTAGCGCTCAGGCGTGCCGGCCACAGCAGAGCAGATTCTCGCTCAGCCGTTGCGATCTGCGCTTGTATTAGTCACAGTGTCACACACTAAACACAATACAGTCTCAGTACAGTCGCGTTTGATTTAAAGACATTGTATTTCAGCGACTATATAGAGCAATGCGTGTATTGCTGGTTGCTGCGCTACAAATATTTTAACAGTTTTTGTTTACAAAATCACATAGACAGCAAAAAACATGCGACTGTTCATTTGTTTTTGTTGCACTCGCGGAAAAATTTTGAATATCTGGCACTGTACTCACTGTATGATGTCGTCGTTCTATGTGTCTTTTTAAATTGGTGATTGAAGATTTATAACAAATATTTTGCTTGCATATATGTATTACAACAAGGTTTACTTTCATGCGTTGGTAAAAATAAATTCCACAGGAAAGATTTTCTTCGTTTATCCATTTCCAATTTTATTTGTAATAAAAATTTATTAGTAGTAATTTAGGACAAAATAACGGGTCACGACGCTATATCAAATTCAAATAAATAATGCGAAAGCGAAATACCAAATTGAGCTAAATCTACGAAAGTTGGCACATGACATGCTTGAAAAACAGCGCATAACGAAAGTATCCCTAACGCTAGCCGCTATTAAGCACTACAGGTGTCGATTTATGAACTCTGACGCGGAAATAAGGGAACAATATCACGGTAGGAATGTATGCGCGCGCTACCAGGAGCTGTTCCGAAAAATCGCAGCTATTTGTCACTGCTCTGTTGCCGGAGCAGTAGCAAGTGTCACTGCTCCGCAAAAAGAGCAGTTTAGCCCATCTCTAATACCAACATTACCAGCCAGAAGCAGAACGAACCAGTTCATAAATGTATTTGATTATTTGCCAGATGGCGCGCAATTAAAATATAAAGAAATCTTCTTTAATTCTATTGTCGTTGATTGAAATATTCTTCAGTTAACGCTATTGTGATTCTATTATATGAAAAGAAAATGATACGTTGACTGAAAAATATTTCAGTCAACGAATTATATTTATATGACTCACCAGTAAAATGATCTTTTTTGATAAAATTACTATATCATAGATGTCGCCATAGATATTCATTCTTTATTGAAGGGAGACTAGACAAGGAGCATGCATTCAGACGGGAAAATTGACAAAATTTGTCCAAGAAATGGCAGAAGTTGCCGTGTCGCTAGTGTTCCATGTGTACCGAAGTGAATGTAGCATAATAAATACGAGTGAAGTAAGCAAATAATCAATTTTATTTTATAATGAGTTGAGTAGATATTTCGGGAAGGTATAGATAGTATACTAAAACCAAAAAACTAGAAGTCAAGTAAATAATTATTTCAATTTCTTTTTACAGTAGTAAATAAAAACTGCCGCAATTTTTATCTTGCCTCTGTAAACGGCACATATGGGACACTAGCGCCCTCTTAAATTGGTAAAATATTTGTTTACATGCAGTTCGGGTTCCTTGTGTAGTCTTCATGCATTATTGGTTGCCTATGTAATTTTCATTTTCAACTACAGAGAGTATAAATTATATGTATAGGGACTCTATTTGTATGAAACATAGAAAGTGTAGAGACATGACCACCCATTGTATAGCGCTGTAATAGTATTTTTTGCAAATGTATGATATTTGACGAAGTCGAACTCATAATAACTTAACAAGGTTTTAATTATCAATTTAACTGTTATTTTCTGCGGTTCTGAAAGATCTCTTTAATTTTAAAATATCATTTCATATTATTCAATGCGATTTAGTGTTGAAAAAATGAATTATACAGAGCAGAATTTTCTAGATAGAATCAATAATTTCTTCATACTTGAATTAAAAATGAGGTAATATACGGCCGTAATATTTTATATAGTCACTAATATGTATCATTGTTTTTAAAAACAATGTATGCATGCACTTCTTGTTCAAAAATAAATAATTTTGTGAATATTCTATTATTACTATTATAGTCTGATCAATACCTACTTATGTTATTGATAATGTTAATTTAACAGAATTAGCATTCTAAAAATGAATAATACGTAATATGAGATGCATAATGCTCAATAAAAAAAAATAGTTTATGGTCCACTCACTGGGAGCGCTGTAACTTTAAACAAACTCTATGTCAGGACTAGAGACGTCTATTCTATATCTATATAGTGTCTTAATGGGTTACCAGTCCTTGTGAAGGTCCTAGATAAATGATACTAGTGAAGGTGAAGTGTTTTTGAAAATTAGAAGTAGGTATACATAATTCAATATTCAGTAAATACTACTGTAATGTTATTTAAATCTATAGTATATAAAATACACATGTATTTGTAAGTAAAAGAATTTTCCGTTTTTTAAACGTTTGTCTTTCCGCATTTCTCAAGATTCTTTCAAATCGTACAGAATGCACAGGCACTACAGGCAGTCACCTGTTGCCTGCAATCAATGCAATTCTGCAAAGTGCAAATGGTAAGTTTATTTTCATTTATTATTTATTAGGTATACTTTCAAATCTGGTATCCAGATAAACTGATTTATGGTTGGTTTATAAAAAAGTATTAGTCCTAACTTAGTCTTAGTCTTAGTATTAACCTTTACACTAATCTTAGTATTAGTCCTAAGAATAGGTACACGTTTATAAAAACAATGTGTGGTCCTAATTTTATTAAGATTAACCAATGAGCGATTCGACTACGCGCATGGCTAGTAATATCACAGCATAATACTTGTTTATTATTCTGTGGTAATGTTATTTTATTTGTTTTGTTGGTGAGTGAAAAGAAAAATATAACCTATTACTATGGTAATGGCGTATTGGCGACCACCATAGACAAAGACAGGAGGCCACTATGCTACGAAATGCAATACTTGTGCATGCGCACTTCTCAGATCTTAGTCTTAATCCTAGAAAAATTAAAAGATGCGAACTTTCAAGGTCATGTCTTAAGACCTCCTTACGACTAGGGATTTTTATAAACCGATACATTACATTCTGTACATTTAACTTATTAGGACTAAGATTAAGGTTAATACTAAGACTAAGTTAGGACTAATACTTTTTTATAAACCAA